AAAAAAAAAAAAAAATCAAGAGAGGGGGGAAAAAACAAACAGGTTATCTACTAAATTTCAACAATTTTTTGTTTTGTTTTGTAGTAATTTTAGATAGCATACTAGACCTACTTTAGAGAAAATGTGGAAGAGTACTGAACTCTTTATGGTTCCAGTGTAAATGTAATTGGCCTAGTCTAAAAAAATTCCCTCCCTATCTATCCAAATAATCTGAAGAACTGTATACAACACAGTTTATCAAAAGTGTACACTAATCTAGAGGGACAAAATCACTGGTGCCACCAAATGACTCTTGGCACAATTTACGGTATTTTTGCCATTCTTGTCATTTTCATTAAAAATTGTTGGAACAGCTGCTGTGTTCCAAGCAAAATGTTAATCGTGGGTGACACCACACTAACAAAGTAGGCAGATCTCTGCTTTTAAAGAACTTAAACTGTGGCAGGAGGGGTGGAAAGACAAGAGGATGGAGACATATTTTGAGGACATAAAACAAGTGAAATCTCTCCTGAATTGAATGTGGTAAGTGCACTGGGATGTACTAAAGCTGGAAAGCAGAATGAGGAGGGTAGGACGAGTTCAGTTTTAAATAGAGTGGTCAGGGGGACTAGCAGTTAGCACAATGGCTATGTCGCTGGACTCCTATGTAGTCAACTGCGGTTTGAGTCCAGGACCCAGCTGCTTAAACTCATGCTGGGCGCATGTGCATGCGTGCCCAAGATCCCGAGAGGAGAATGGAGGAGAAGGGATTGCGGTGTGGCCACCCCCCCTGGGGGGTGATTTCTCGCTTTCTGTCTCTCTCTTTGTCTTTCTGGCGAGTGCACACGCCCTATAGCAATAACCTCTCCAAAAAAAATAGGATAGGGTGGTCAGGGAAAGCACCTCAAGGAAGATGGTATTTGAGCAAATGCAGTGTGTAACATTAGTTACATACGTAATTGGATGCAGAGCCTTCCAGAGGAAAAGGGAACACTAAAGGCTTTGAGGTCCAGGCTGGGCACGTTTTAGGAATACCAAGATCCTTCACCTCCTGTGCTCCCTTTGCCTTTCTGTTCCCCTTCTGCCTTAGAACTGCCCCTACCTTTAGCCTAGTTATAATCAGCTCAGGTGCTTTATGTGGTGTGAGTAAGACCAAAACAAGTTTAGTAGTTCAAATTTTCACTTCCAAACAAAAGGCTTGTTTTTTGGAAAATCCTAGAGAACCTAGTTGAATTTAAAAGCTTAAGAGGAGGGGCCGATAGATGGCGTGGTGGATAAAGGCACTGGATTCCCAGATGGACAACCATGGTTCAAGTCCTGTACCTGGTGGCTTGCTTTCTCGCTTTTCCTTTCTCTCTCTCTGTCTGGTCAAATTAGAAAACAATAATAACAAATGGAATTAAATAAATAATTCTTTTTTAAAAAATCGTAAGAGGAAACTAAGACTGACATAAGATATAAAGAGTAAAATCATATAATCCGATATAAATATTTTCTTAGGGTCACAAAAGTAAAACAAAAAGTGCTATGAA